GCCTCGTTGTCTGACATCTGATGAATTTTGCACTGTTCTTTAGTTTCATCATTAGATTTCTTTCTGCTGTCTGTTTTCGTGGCTTCATCTCCACTTTCGCCTTTCAAAGTTTTTAATGCCGAAGCTTTTCTCTTATCGGTAAAAGGAATCCAGAAAACATCTTCACTTGATCTACGACGAGGTTGACAAGTCTTACAAAACTCTTTACCCGGAGACGACTCGTTGGAGTCTCTCCGTCCCGCGCGTTTTTCCTTGGGAAGGGATTCACCGCACAACGAACAGTTACCCGAGGCAAGAGCCTCTAAGTTCTCAAGGTCGATGTAAAATTGTGTCCCGTTTGATGATGAATCCCTTTTCATTTTCTCACTGGATTCTGTGTTATTATCACTGCTACTATCACCCGCGGGAATCCAAAACATGGAGCGTGGAACTGACGTAAAGGTTTCTGTCATATTGCCTCCCTCGGCAGTAAGCGTCTGGTTAGATTCCAGTTCTCCTTCTCCTTGGCTTGTATTAGACGCACGTGAAGACCCACGGGGGGAGGGTGGTGGCGGCGAGACTTCCCCGGCTGAAACTACTCCGCCTCGAAGAACGTTGTTTCTAAGTAGATCTGAGAAATAATAAATATATAAATAGACGAAATGAATAAATGAATAAAATGAATATAACGAAAAAGTAGCAAAAAGTTACAGAGGACAGGGTTTGGGCTAGGCTCAACTCTGAACAACACTTAAAGGCGCTATGAAGCAATTTAGCCAGAACGGGTATTACACAGTAACATAAAACGCCAAGAAAAAGAAGTATTTGCGTACGTACCAAGATCTACGACATCAGCTGCTACAGGTAAGTTGGGTTGCGCTATATCTGGTGAAGTGATGGATCTCAACTCTGGGGTCAGTACTCGGTTCACTCCCAAAGGAGGCACTCGTGACGGTACAGCTACTCGGGGACTTGGGACCTGACTGGTCGATGACGATCTTAGTCGCAAGTCCTTCTCAGGTGTTCCTGGTGGAGAGATCTTGCGTTGATACGTGAGGACTGGGCTTGAAAGTCTATGACGAATGCGATGATTAGGCGGAAGAGGTAAATGGTAGGGACGGTTTTTATTCCGCGACTCTGGTTTTTCTCCACGTAAATTTCTAAGAAAAGAAAAGCAGGAACTTAAACAGAGCAAAAAGGTCTATACACTTTAACAAGGAATAACAGGGGAGCACAATACAGTCAATCCTTTCAAACACGAAGCTACATTAAGTGGGTACCCTCCATGATGTTGTCACATCCTTAAGACCCGGAAACTTAATTACTCCTCAAAGATGGGGTTTGACTGTTTAGTTACTCTGTCTTTATAAAGGGTTGTGTCCCGCCTGTCACTTGATAGAAGGGTATGTCCAAGAGAAACAAACAAAAACAACACAACACACTAGATGCCGACTGGCTAAAATGCTTCAACACATGAGATAAGAGAAAATATTTTCTATTTACCTGACATATCTTAGCTCGATGTTGAGAACAGACAAACTTGGCAAGGCCCCTGAAGTCACTTGGGCATCTCTTTCACTTGAAACTGAAATTACCAACAGCAAATAGTTCTAAAAGCTCGCTATTAGGACAATCTTTCCTCAAACAATTAACAAAGCTTCGCCATCAAGAAAAACACGTTTGTATTTTATTGAAATACGGAACTCACCCAGAAATTGTTCCCTGGACTGCTCTCGGAAAACTAAACCAGAAGAAGACCGGGAACCTGGGTTCGAGTTTGTTGTGGAAACTGATGGAATTCTTGGCATGCGAACATCAGAAATCTTTCTTGAGGGAAGAATGTTTTTCCTGGTAAAAAAAACAAGCAACAATTGCCCGAGCATAATATAAGTAAGGCAGTATCATTGACACCAAACCGAGCATTATTAGTATGAAATCAAGGATAGTTTTACGCGTGCCTACTTCCTTTTCCGTCGCGCGTGGAACAAAAACTGTAGACGTTTGTACACAGACTAGGAAGCCTGCGAAACTTGCGTAACTTTTATAAATTCGGCTCAGGTTATTGCGATGCACAACGATAGCGTTATTCGCCTGTCTCGTCGCTCGTTCTCTGCGCTCTCCTAGAATATGCAATAATAATAATAATAATAATGCGGCTGTTCTGCATGCTATCACTATACATACCTTTCTTCAAGTGCGGAAAAGTCTCGTAATGAATTTTGAGACGACCTTTTTTTAACACTTTCTGTGGAAAACAAGAGAACGAACGATTCAAACCTTCAAAGAGAAAATATCACAAGTTATAACTGCACCCAATAAATCTAGATAAGAGTAAGAGTTTAGAAAAGCGCATATATATAATTTGGATCTTTTGCAACTTTTCTTTTCTTTTTTCACTTACTTTCTACTTCTTGGAGTGGGGCAGTGTTGAGTCGAGTAATAGTAGATTCCTATAAAATAAGGACAATCAATGTTGTCAAGATCATGTGACCACTCTTGAGACCAAAGAAAATCATTGTTGGAAATAGGATGCAGAGGAGCTAACAATAGAGACCTTTAGATTCTCAGAAGCGGACGACTACGAGCACGAGATTTTCTAAACTCTATATAAGTAGTGCGCGAGCGTGAACTAGTGTCAATTTCCCGGAAAAAAGCGATAGCCGCCGTCATTCTAAAAAGGAATTTTAAGGCGAAGACGTCTCTATCGCGACATTTTTTCCAACTCGCCTACTTTGTCAAATACAAGCGAAATCTTCTAGAGCTGAATTTATAAGAACCATAACCAATTTCACTTCCTGCATAAAACGTGAAACTAGACATTTTCACATCGTAGTCGTGCAGTGACGGCAAAGAAATGTACAAAAGAGCGTTCTGCACGTGCAGAGTTGTTGTTTTACCTGTTCAACCAATACTTTTTTGACGTTCACGTTGCTGTTTCTGTCGTGTCATCTTAGGCCTTAGACCTCGCTTAGACGGGTCGGGACAATTTTCTTACCTGTGTGACCCCGTTTACACGGAAACGAGCAAATTAACACACTTTCTCGGTCAAAAAATCTGCACGGTTCCGTAGGTCTCGTGTAAAGGAAAGGCGGATCCGTGCAAGTTTTTGCCCGTTCAAAAATTTGTCCAGACCCGTGTAAACGGGGTCTTTAACTTCCTAATGNGGACAATTTTCTTACCTGTGTGACCCCGTTTACACGGAAACGAGCAAATTAACACACTTTCTCGGTCAAAAAATCTGCACGGTTCCGTAGGTCTCGTGTAAAGGAAAGGCGGATCCGTGCAAGTTTTTGCCCGTTCAAAAATTTGTCCAGACCCGTGTAAACGGGGTCTTTAACTTCCTAATGTCGTATTGGAGGGAAACAAGTTTTCAAAAGTTGAAACTTTTATCATTCGCGATCAGTAGAGGGGTTAGCCTCCTTCAATTAGATACTCGTGCTAACTTGTCTGGTGAAAAAGTAAAATGAAGCTTTCCGGGGTTTCTGTTTTTGGAGAATACGCGAAAAAACCTCGTCAATTCTCGTCCGGTAGTTGTCTTGTCCAGCTCGAATCTAAAAGCTTCTAATAAAAACTGCTTGTAAGAACCACCTCAGAGACTTGCTGTGTTACTGCAGTCTGGGTGTTTGGCTCAGTCAGGTCTTTTTGATCAGCAGGTTGCACAGGAGCTGTTTAAAATAAAACATTTATGGTTTATGCCATGTACAAGAAGGACAACAAGGATGATCTAGTGATAACGATTACAATAACTTGCTGATGAAAAATTTATTCCAGATATTTGCCATCCTTTTTAATTTGTTTATTTCCTTCATTGCCGCATCTACAAAGCATACAAGTACTTTACCTGAAAAGATTCTCTTTGATTTAAAATATTTGGTTTGTTCTGCCCAAGCATCTACAAGTAAAAAAGCAAATTTTTACCAGGGAGCAGACTGTATGAAACTAAAATTCATGAATACATATAAATAAAACACCATTATATGACCAAACACTGAAAGCCCAGAAGAAAATAAATAAGAAAAAAAATTGACAAAAATTAAAGCTCTCTCAAATAACAGTCCATTTAAGAAGAAGTTACATGTTGTCTTGTAAGGTAGGTTTTTATGACATACTGTATCAAAGTATATCAACACACCTCTAAGCACTGTCTGTACTTTTCTTCCTCTTGCTACATCTACGGGTGAGAGACCTAAATAAAAAGAAAAAACAAAACAGAAACATTATTAGTACCAGTACTCCTACACATGTACTAATAATAATCATCAGCATTGGATTAATTGGCAAGGCAAAGTTTCAAATCCACCAATGTCTTGTGTAGATCTAAGTACCATACATTATTACATTAACCATTAGCCCACCACGTCACACATCCACCCATTACACACAGTACAGCTGAAAGGCAAGTTACCAGTCTCCTTTCATTTCTCGCCAGACACGCGGAGACAAGACAAGTATCTCATCTTGAGAGAAGAGAGTCTGACATCTCGAGGGAATCACTGAAGCGACAATTTTGCATTAAATTACAAGTGAAACTCAATTTCCCTGATTTCTGCACACACAGCTGTACATACCATTGTCATCAGTGATTGTCACATCAGCACCATGATCCAGCAAGGTTCCAGATGATTTTTCATATCCATGGGAAGCCTGTTTAATAAAATGAATTCATTAAAAGTTTCCATATTGGTAAACACTGAAGCAGAATTCTTCTGGCTACATTCAGATATCCATTTTTTGTTAAACCAGTCAATACAGATCGTAACTTGAAAATACTATGTTGACATTTTATTTTGCTGGAGATTTTTCCTAAGTGAAAAAAATATTTTCTTGGTGCTGGCAGGGTTTAGGGTAATCACAAGGAGTGATATTCCCAATGTGTAGCCCGCAACATTCCATTGGAACACATTTCCCTTTAGCAAACTCATGACTGTATTTTAAACCAAAAATTCTGCTGGATAAAAGTTATCTACACCTACTGAGTTTGAACGATTTTTCCATGGGTGGCTGACGTTCACAAGATGTTAATTCTCTCAGTGGTTTCTCATGTTTTTCTTTTTTAACTGGAATTTTTTTCAAATCATAATAAACAAAATTCAAAAGGCAACAGCTATACACTAGTAATTGTACCATGCACACAACCCTCACTTACAGCTATATGGAGAGGAGTCTTTCCAACATAACCTTTAGCATTAACATTAGCTCCCCCCTTGATAAGAGCCAACAGAATAGGCTGATTGTCTTCTTTGGTTGCCCAGTGCAGGGGGGAGTTGCTAAACCTGTCTGGTACATCTGAAAACCAGTAACATATGCAATTAACAATAATTTAAGTCAAATTATCCACAGGTACAGTTGTAAGCCTTTAGAACATATCAACGTTTCCAGCATGTACAGAACCTTAATTGGAAACTCTCTCTAAAATAAAATACTGACTCAAGCATTTTTAATGTTCAAAAAATGCCTGATTTAAGGGTAACTATAAATTAAAGCATGTGACCTTAACAGTCATGTAGCCAACAGAAGCATGTGTATTTCACCAGATATTCGATAACAGAAAATGTGAATGCAGACTTCTCATGCACTGTTGCACTTGACTGTTACAATGTATATCATGCATATAGGAATTTCTAACAACAACTGAAAACTGAAGAAGCTCTTGACTGCATGCACCTTGTGCATTGTCACATTAGTCTCTAAAAATGCTACCATCCCCCACCCCCAAAGTGCCCCTCTCCG